ACAGACAAAATATGTTGAGAATGGTAAGAAATGTTATAAATGATAAGAAATGGTAAGAAATTTCTTATACACTTTATTGTTAACATTGTTTATCCTTGCAGATTGCAGACATAAAATCACACACTGTAAGAAAAAAGCATATAAAAAATTAGTAATATTCTTAGAAGCACCTGGGGATAGAATTGACATTGCTGTGCAAACGGAGGATACATGCATAGATTTACACAAGACTGACGATGTACAAAACACACATATTACATCCAACTGCGAAAGAGAAGCAGTGTTGCCTACTGTGAATTCTACCAGTTTTTATGAAAATGTTATGAAAGATTCGGACGATGACACCAATGTGCAAATACTACAAGAAAAAGAATCTGATGACGCTGATCAAAAAACTGAGGATCAGATTGATTCTCAAATGGGGATCAGACCTCAAACTGAGGATCAAACTGAGGATCAAATGATGGATGATATTAAAGATGATATTAAAGATGATATTAAAGATGATATTAAAGAAGATGAGGATGATAATTCACAAGATTCCTTATTGCAACATATGGAAGATATGTTTTGTGAAAGTGATGACAGCAGTGATCTTACAAAATTAATTGAGAAACATTCTGGTGTTACTAAAGCTAATATTGATAAAGAAATCAATAAGATATGTTTAGAAGCAGATCTCATGGGCACAAATCTTTGTGGAGTATCACAGAATAACAATATATCGAAACCTACTATAGCAAAAAGAAATACGAGCCAAGGAAAAGTTAGTTTTAGTCGCTATAAAGAAATGCAAAATAGAAAGGCCAATCTGAAAGGTATCAATGGAAACGAAACCATAGAAAATAAAGAAAAACAAAAAGCAAATGCTATCTGGTTCGTGGATCGTGTGCACTACGTCACGAAATTGAAATCTATAATGATTGAATTATCGCTAACGAATTATCGAAAGCACGGGAGAATAAAAGAAAAGTTTACTCAATTGTTCGGGGAATCTGAGGAAGAAGAAATGATGCCAGACTCGCCGATCTGCATAGAGGATCATTTACCAGCTTGTAAACAAAGAATATCACGCTGGGCTGTACAATATTTAATGCCGTTCTACAAAAAGAGAAGAATCAAAAATCGGGAGCTTTTTAAAGATGTGGCAAGATATATTACGGATATGCTAATTATAGAAGACACATTTCCAGGTAAGCTAGTGTTTAATTCGTCATAGATATTATATTTTTGCGAAATTGTGTTTAAAAGTATGTAGTTTCGTATATAAAATTTAATATAATGTTTTGGAAAATGTAACATGTTCGCAGCGTAAGGATTCCCTGGTGGGTCTTGGCTTTCTATGCTAGTGAACAAAGATATCCACTAGTGAATTTCGGTTTCATGCAAAATACTTTCATGCACTAAAAGTATACAAATTAAATGTTTAAGAAAGCAGAATCTTTTTACATTAGAATTAAATTTGTTTTATTTTTATCAAAATTTAGTTTTATACGAAAAATTTGACTGTTAGATATAAATGCATTAGATATTATTAATGCACCTGGCTGTACATTGTTTCATAATAGTTTTATAGACTCTATATAATAATAATAACTCCTATTCTCTTATTTGTGTATTACAGAACAAGAATATGTGATCCAATATATAGAACGTTATTTCAAGAACAAGAAATTTATCAAGACCAAACAGGATATATACTTATAAACAATTGTGCAGCATTATCAATTCTATTATGCAATAAAACATAGAAATTGCATCCTGACATAAATAATTTTCTTCTTACATAAGTTTGTGAGATCTTTCATTCATTGAATCTGAAGGAATTCTATGTAATGACTTAGGAAGATGTTATATAAATTCTGCAAAAATTGAAATTTAAAAGACATCTTATTTTATAGATGTGTACATTGTTATCGTAATAGTTATTATGATTTTTGTATATATAATATATTTTTTTTTATAAAGCAAATATTAATTTTTTAACTTTATATTCTGTCTTCTTGAGAACGAATAAATGTGACTATTGTTAATTATATAAAAAATTTTATTCTATACTTTTAAGCAAGAATATTAATAATTTTGATATTTCAAATAATTTTGACAATAAAGTAAATCGACGATAAAGGATCAATAACAATCTAAATCGCAGCAATCCGTACCGCGTAAATATGTAAACACAGTTATGTAAATATGTTTGTTTCATTTCTGTAACTGGTATCCGCATACTTCTTATAATACAAAATATTAAAAAGAATCCAAATTGAAACGTTCGACATATGTTCCTATTTCGAATCCAAATACTTTACGTACAATTTGTGGACAACTGCGATTTAGGTTCTCATTTGCTCTTTATCATTGATATATTGATAAATTTGAAACTTATTTCTCCGCGGAAAATTATTTTTCTCCAATTGTAATATCGATATTTATATAACTTATATACAAAAATATTGCTTTTGTCACACATATAACTATTCGCGTATTATATTCCATCTAACAGATCACATGTCAAATGTTTAATTATATTAAACAATATGTTTGCTATTATATATTACTAAAACAATAACAAGTAAAGGGTACTTTTTATATAACATAATTTTTACGAATGATAACATTTTCTTTTATTTTACTTATTTCCTTTCTTATAAACATGATAACAGTAGACAGAATCAACCTACTAACAAGTAAGAATGATTTTGCCGATTTATTATTCGTTTTCTTATAAAGATACTTAACTATACTTTTCATATGATAGATCGTAGCAATATTTAAAGTAAAATAAAAGTGAGTGTTTCCAAATAAGCAATCTCATCTGATATCGCAGCATTGGAAGTTTACTTAGCTTTTGCAAAAAGAACGTGTAGAAGAACGTCCATGACTTCCAAATAAGATGTCAATACCAAAACACGACTTCGAATGTAGAAGACTTGGTGGGAAAGATATTCTCGATACTTCTTATGGCGACTTATGTATTACGTATTTTACCAGGTACATAATTCTTGTCTATTACTGGCTCCTGCAGAAACATGTGTAAACATCGTTCATTCTGTGCCAAAGGATGTCCTGCTATTCTGAAAGAACAATATAAACAGTTTGTCATAATTATACATTAAGAAATTAAAGGTATTTTAAACTGTTTTATGATAATATTTTATTTTAACATCTTTAGCAGATTCAATTAGCTTGAACATTTCATAAATTATATCGTAAATTATTTCTCTTATCTATAGAAAGTGATATACTCACTTGTTAACAAAAACTTCTAAGCCTTTTCTTCGATCTTCAATAAAGTCTTCTTCAAATATGCCATCATCTCCACGAAAAGGCATTTGACGCTTCCATGCTTTCCCTGGTAAAGGTGGTACTACAATCTGTAATTTTATAACAATATTTTATTATAATTAAACAATAATTTTACCATGTCGAAATATGTTTCAAACTAATTCAATGCTAGTCACAGAGTAATATATCGATAAATACAATATATGATCTTTATTAAAATATTTTGGAGAGTTTCTTGTAGATAACAGTAGAATGTATCAAATCTGTCGTCTTAAACAATTTTTTACAATGCTATTCATATTACTTGTCATCATAATTACCTCCTAATTTTAATTACCTCCTTCAGTAACTAACCTTACTATCTCTTTCTAATTCATTTCTCAGCCATTCGAAATCACTGTATCGTCTTCTTACAGTTGAATCCTTTACTTTAAAGACTGGTAAATTTGTCTGAAAAAAATATTAGTGATTGACAATATTGAAATGTATGTTTCTCAGTATGTGTGTGTGCATGTGTATACTTTTATAAATAATTTTCATTATAAATAAAAAAGGTAGAAAGCAGAAACTTTCTAAGATTAATTATATGATATAATTATCTTCATATATTATATTTTTATATTTTCTCTGAATGTCACATTTGCTTAAATAAGTGTTGAAAAATGGTGAAGTGATTTGAGAATGCTGCATTTGTTCCGAAACATTACAGTACAAGCAGGTTTTTTGGTATTTATCAACTTGATAACGGGCACGGCCTGTGATATACCTAATCGCTGGACATAATCGAATTACAATCGTTGAACGTGAAAAAGGTCCATTTTTATCGTGATGTGCGTTGAAAGGAATGTGAACAATTTTAACGCAATAAATGTTTGGTATGTTTAATATTGTGCTGAAAATATTTGAAATGAAATAGACATTACTCACCCTCATACGAACTTCATAATCGGTGTATCGTTTCTTGCCGACGCCGTGTGTGATAGGATTAATCACGTCGATTTCGAGGAAGTTCGCAGGCGCCGCGTAAGCGTCGTCCAGCGTCTGTTTTTTCACATTTAGACGCCGCGTAGCGTCTACAGTCGTGTCCGCCATTTCTTACGGTTTTTAATTAAATATGCGTTTGCTTCAGCGAGCTTTTACTTCTACAAAATGCTACCAATGTACAGTATAACGAAACACCGCCGAATGACAGCGCTTGGTAACTTGACACAATTCGCCTCTCTCTCTTTCTTTCCCTCCCTTCCTCTCTCTCTCTCGGCATGCGTGTATGTCATACGCACGAAATAAAGGGAGATAGAGAGAGAGATAAATGCATCAAGTTTATACTTGTGTGTGGCACGTCATGCATATACGCCTAGTACAGCAACAAGCAGGGTTTACATGACGCTTTTTTTAATACTAACACTATTATAGCTCTTTTATATTAAACGACACACAATGTATGCCACGCGACAAGAAACAACATGGTAGCCAATCATCTCTTGCTTCAAATCTGCTACTTGAGGAAAAGTAATGGCTCCTACACACAGGACGCGGCAACGCTTGCCGCGCGGCAAGCAGCAACGCGGTGGCCAATCGGATGCCTGCTTTTTCGAAAATAGTCGACATATAACTTTTGCCGCGCGGAAAATGTTGAATTGGATCCAACTTGAAATAGAATGGAGATTCCATATTATATGTGATAACAATTGTAATATTTTATTTGCAAGAAAATATTTATTTGCATTGGTTTGTATATTTTTCGTGTATTTATAAAATCGAAAACTAAATTACATTAATTAATGTCGATTCTTATTTATTCGTATGGTTTCGCAAATGACAAATTGGCAGCTCAATGACTTACATTGTTATTAGTTATTCATGTTATTACATAATTTATATATAAATGTTGATCAGTAAAAAACTTATGTGGTATTTGTCAACTGTGTACAAATTATATACTGATTAAATAAAAAATTATACAAATTAAAAAATATTACAATAAATTATGTATTACATATAACATTATATGTTATTATACTATAATAAAACAACGTTTTTCTTATTATATGTTAGATGAGAACATTATTTTTTGGTTATAAATTAAATTTACATTTAGGTTTTCTATCGCATATAACTTAATTAAGATAATATGATAAATTTATAATATAACATAATTATGAAGAAGAAACAAAGGTAAAGAAATACCTTATTTCATAAAACTGCAGATTGAACTGGTATTCATTGAGAGACGGGAATTCACTGATGTTGGTGGTTTGCGATTATTAGGTACACGAAAATCACGAAAACCATCAATTGTTTTATATTCTTTCCTTGGCTCAACTAAATTTACAGGTGTCATATCAATGGATTTCAAAAAATCTAACGATTCCGTAGAATATCTGCAAACAGCAGCGAGAATAAATTAACAAAGGATTACATAACATTACATATTTTTTTACTTTTTAGTTACTTATAATATTAACTTTAAACATTTTTAATAATAATAATTGCTAGATAAACATAATTTTATAAATTAATAAGATCGTGAAATTTGTTTCTATTTTTTCAGTTATTTTTATTTTAAAACTTTGTACACTAAACTAAGTTAATCATCTTTTTTATGTTTTTGTACTGTTTTATACTTTACTTTGAACTTGATGAATGTGTAAAAATAGCGGAATCTGCTGGTGTCTTTGCATAAAACGTAGCTCGTTGATTATCCATCTCAGAAAGCTTTTTACTGAGCTTCTCTTTCTCAGCCTTTAGATTCATATATTTATCGCTCAACATTTTTAATTTATCGTTCAGCATTTTTAATCTTCGTCGCTCCATAAAAAAGTGAGTCTTCAATGCCTCGTATTTCTTATCCTTGGAACAAATCATGCATTACAATCAAAATCTGACCGTATAAAAATATGCAATATTACAAAATGTAAGACATGATTGTACGTACAACTTCGCGAAAACGCTGCATTGTTATTTTCATTTGATTTTTGCGGAACATATCCACTTTCAACAACGTTTCCAAACTTTCAGTGAAAGACATGAAGAATGGAGCCACCTTGGGCATCAACGGCTCCTTCAGTGGTATGGTTATAGGACCAACAAACTCGCATTGCGGACATTGTTTCTCTACTACATATATTTAGTGCAAAATAAAATATTAATTACGACACTTTTTCACAAAAACCTTGCTTTGTTACTAACCTTGTTGCAAACAACTCTGACAAGATATATGGCCACACTGTGTAATGTAGTGCGGCTGTTTTCCTCGGAATATTGGAATAAAGCACTTATTGCAAATTAACGTCTCCATGTCTGAAATGGTACTAAAAAAGACAAACAGATATACAATTAGCGAGATTATTAATTTTATCTCGTAACTGAGTTGTGGCAAGTTACGGAAATCGAAACAGTGATCTTCAATTATTCGCGCACTCAGATATTTCTCTCGAAATAAACAAAACTCTGTTATGTATTAGACAAGAACAAAATTTACTTTCTCACATACATCAATTTAATTTAATTGATCGAACGCTATCTTTTTGAATGACAGAATGTTCGTAAACAGCGAATAAAATTATTCAATGGCGGCGCCAGATGATGCGATATTGTAAATAGCGGTCCACGGTTTCCGAGCCGCACAAGCGAGAGCAGTGATGTCAGATTTGAGACGCAAGAAACAAGAAGCATGAACGAAGAAGTAACTGCACTCATGTGCAAGCCACGTATGCACATGTGAGCTCTGCGCTTCGGCTAGCTTCGGACTTTAGAATAAAGCAGACACTATTTAGATCCATTATCTTCATCTTACTTCTTATTTTCTACATTTTTTATATAAACATATAACGATATATACAGAATGAGACACATAAAATAAATCACTTAAATCATTTTTTTATTTTTTTTTTAGATAAAAGACGATAGAAGCGTTTCAGGTAAATTTTTTTGTTTTTGTTTTAAAAAACACATTATGTGATGCTTGCATTTTTTGGTTTTATTGCTTTCATAGAATCACAAATCCTTTTGTGTGATTAAATTATACATGCTAATTGTTCTGCGGCAGGTCAAATTAAACCTAAAAAAGAAAAAAATTTTTATAAACTAACGTACGTCGGTAAAATTTCTAAATTTTTTTTTTTTGGTTTTAATTTAACCCGCCGCAGAACAATCAGCATGTGTACTTTAAACACACAAAAGGATTTGTGATTCTATGAAAGCAATAAAAAAATAGTCTCTTATTACAATACCGACCTGTTTACCAACCTTTTACCTTCTATTTTTGGTAAAATTCTTTTTTTGGCTGCATGGAATAAAAAATCCTTTCAAATTGATCGTTTCCTATATTATTGGCATATAAACTTTAATTACAAAAAATAATTTGTTATTCTACGAAGCAAAAAAGAAAAATTTTACAAAAAATAAAAGTTAGTAAAACAGGACTCCAGAATTGTCTCATTTTATGCTAAAAACTGAAATATTTATAAGTTGTCTTAGGCCGGTATTCATAGTCCGACTATGAATACCGCCCTTAGGCCGGTATTCATAGTCCGTTCTTATATTCAAGATCGTCTTAAATACGGACTTATATTCGCTCTCTTCGTCACACATAGATTGTGTCTGACGAAGAGAGCGAATATAAGTCTGTACTTAAGACAATATTGAATATAAGAACGGACTATGAATACCGGCCCTAGTCCGTGTCCGTCCCTCTATTCCTTAGTCCGTGGTTGTATCGTAGTGTAAAATTTTTCGGTGGTCGTCCGACAGGCGGCGCCAACAAGGCCGCCAGCGATATATTGAAGTGCGATACATCAACACTCGATCGAAGCAATAAGTCGATGCTTCCGTACGAAACCGGATGCGGCGAACAATCCAAAACATCCTCGAACATTCGGGACCGGCTTCTTTATGCGGAGCCAAATGTTAAGGAGCATTCTGTTCGGAGCCGGCATTAGGGTCAGTCGAGAATTAGAGTCGTCGTAGAATTAGATCTAGTCTCGCAAGCGATTAACCAGTATTAAGTGTATTTTGCAAATTGCAATAAAGACCATCATTTATATTGTTAAACCAGTGATATATTCGAACTCCTGATCTACATTATAGTACAGTGGGTGTTAATCCAATCGGAGCACGTGGATTTAATTCAAACGGTTAACGGACATTTCGATACAGTGCACGCGGTGCTCTGACCGTTACAATTATATTAGAAACTAGACGGATATTTGTCCAGTCGTCGAGTCGTTTAATCGGAGGACATTCAGTAGCCACCATATTGTTAACACGTGTAACCTTAAGCTAAAGATATTACACTTTAAAAACAAAAAAATATAACGTTCAGTAAAGTAAACATACCGGTTATAATATCTATATTCTCACGTGGTAACGTTCAATTAGGAAGACAAAAATGTCTGTTTCGTATAATTTGCCAAACGAGATATTAGAAAAAATTTTCAATTTCTGTGATGTTTATACTTTATCACAGATTAGTATGGTATGCATACAATTTAATAATGTGGCAAAATATATACTAAAGAAAAAAAGTGAACATTTGCTTGTCACGAATCAGAAATCGGAAAAATTTTGTAGAACGGTAAGTTAAATAAAGCTTACTCTTTATTTATATTTTGATTTATTCTAGAACAGTGCTTGGAAATAGTCGAGCATTTCAACCGATTTCCGTGGCTGACGTTTCTTTTCCTCTCCTCATCAAGCGCGCCAAAGTTGCTCGAACCAGCGCCGAGTGTTAGAAGCGACACTATTAATTTATGAGTGGAATGTTCTCTCTTTATTAAATTAGAATTATAATTATAAATATTTATTTCAAATTTATTATGTGGAAATATTCAATAGATTCCACGTCACCAATAAGGTACTATTACTAACGTTGTTTTCTTTCTCTCTCTCTTTTCTTTTTTATTTTTTTAAAGTTATTAACGTTATTTAGAGTCCGTTCTTATTTTTAAAATTCTCTTAAGTATGGTCCTAAAATGCTATGAAGCAATCAAAGAACCGTATTAATATCTTAAGACAGTACTTAAGATAAGTCTAGAATAATTCTGGAATAAGAACGGACTATGAATGCCGCCCATAAAAGGCCATTTTATCTTATAAAAAGTAAAAAAATTTAATCTTTTTTATATTTTATTTTTTTAAATTAAGAATTCATTATTTTTTGTTTTCAGTGAAATAGGTTCACAAAAAAAACACAAAAAGAAACTTTAGCGGCTGCGTCGTGTGCGATAAAGAGAAGAAAAGAGGCGTCAACCACGGAAATCGGTTGAAATCCTCAACTAATTCTGAGCATTGTTCTAGAATTTTCTTTTCATCACGTTTTCTGCTGAACCAATTTGTTATATTATTTTGTTTTTTATTGACGGAGACGATGCAATGACATCATTAATTCACTTCTAAATTAATCCAAATTTGTTCAATTAAAATTATTAATAAAACAGTGTTCTTAACAAAAATACTTTTTCTCAAGTCTAATACAATATTTGTCGATAAAACTTTTTCACATATTAACGTTAAGGGAATCCTAAAGTGATCTGTCTTACCGATTTCTTTCAAATACACTATACTTTTTTTTGGCTGTATGGAATAAAAAATTCTTTTCAATAATTAAAGTACATATGCTAATACACTACGGCCGACTTGAAAGGATTTTCCAAGCCAGATACAGTATCTGTTTTGGCTTCTATTTTTCGTAAATTTCATTTTTTTGGCTGCGTGGCTTGAAAAATCTTTTCAAATCGACCGTCTGTAGTGTATTAGCTTATGTATAATACTTTAATTACAGAAAAGGATTTTTCATTCTACACAGCCAAAAAAAGTATAGTGTATTTGAAAGAAATCGATAAAACAAACCATTTTAGGATCCCCTTAAGTCACAACTTTTTATTTTGTTTTTAGCAAAACTTGATTTAATTTTTTAATTATATTTTTTTTAATATATTTTAATAATTACATATTTTCAGAAGATAGATATTTATGATTTTACATAAGATCACATTGAAGAACACATGTCTTATTTTCTTTTACAGATGTAAACCATTATTATCTTTATATCAAAATTCTATATTTATTATAAATTACAACTGGATACATAAAGAATGTAAAAGAAGACAAATATATAAAATCAAGAATGTTAAGAAAATCTATTTAGAGCAAAGACATTTCTATTATTTTCAGTATAAAAATCGAAGCGTACAAATGACTAAAAATATAGTTTGGTTTTTTTGTCAGGGTGAGATTCTAGCTTTTAAACGCGCAGAGAACGGTACAATTAAAAAGGGTAATATTCTGAAAACTGACAAGGCTTTTATTGAAACTTTTGCTCATTGCGATAATTATATTATAAGTGGCGACAGGTGAATATTTATTTATGAACTATGTGAACTTTTATGTTTATTTCTTTTTTTTTATTTTTGACAAAAATTCTTGCAGAGAAGGAATTATTAACCGCTGGGAAATTAAGGATAATCAAAATGATTTTTATTTAAACGTTTAAAAATACATAATGTGCATTATAATATTGATCAAATAGACGCAACATCGCAACACATTATAACTAGTTCTGAACATTCAATAAAGGTAAGATTAAAGAAAAATTGCAATAATGCTATGTTAATGTAGTATGTAAAAAGTTTGTTTTTATAGATATTGAAATATACAGATGATAGAAAAGGTTGTACGGTAGAAAACGAGATATTTTGTGGGGACACCAATTATATACAATCAATCTTATTTGATCCTATAGGAACAAAATTTGCGGCTACTCTCGATTATTACTCTGACTCTTCTTTTAAGTATTCGTTTCTAATTTACGATATTGATAAAAGGTAAGTTATGTTTCAATTAATTAATCGGTTTCTACAAATGTTCGATTGAACATTGACTACATTTACACGTCAATCTCAATTCGGTATAGTAATATCCGTAGATATGAAACCCAATTGACGTTGCCGTGTAAACGTACTCATGGACTATGTTTATACAGACACTATTATATGATCCGATTTAATAACATTTCTAATTATAACTTACAAAAACGGTTTGATAACCCAAAAATTCTAAAAAACATAAAACTGCAAAAATACAGTATATATGAACCTAATCAAGTACGTATATTTAAAATAATATATTATATAACAAACTAGTGTAAAGAAATTTTAGTTGTCAGGTAATAAATATAAATATAGATTATTCTTGTCACCAAATACTATGGGAGGATCCTTACACTATTCTCATGAATTATGGAGATTCTATTAAAAAAATGGATTTGAGGTAATAAATCTTATTGTTAATACCAATTAGCCATTCAATTTATTTATATTTGTTACTGTGATTTTAGAACATCTGAAATTGTACGTACATGGGATTCTTCGAAATATGGCTTCCACACATTTTGTTGTTCATCAGATAATATGAACACTTTTATGACAGGGTGTCAAAAGAGTGTTCTGTGGGATCAGAGACAAAGCGTTGCCATTCAAGTTTGTATTATTTTCAAATTTTTTGTATCTTGTACTTTATTAGTAAATTATTATTAACTCTCTTGAAAATTTTTAGACGTATGATGTAGATGGCTCAGATATATATCATCTAGAATTTGATAGTACCCATATGTATGCTACTACAGGAGAGTGTCTTTTTGAATTAGACTTTACCAACAAAAACCACTTTAACCACAAAAAAATAAAAACGTTTTTTGGCAATTTTTATTAAATAAAAAATGTTATGTGAAAATTCTTTTTATTATATTTTGATTATTTACATTAATTCAATGACACGCTTGAATTACCATCTCCTCTCGCCTAAACTAGGACTTTAGACTCGGTCCCTCTATTCCTTAGGCCGGTATTCATAGTCCGTTCTTATATTGAAGATTGTCTTAAGCACGAACTTATATTCGCTTTCTTCGTCAGACACAATCTATGTGTGACGAAGAGAGCGAATATAAGTCCGTGCTTAAGACGATTTTGAATATAAGAACGGACTATGAATACCGCCTTTAGACATCTCATTAAATAGCCTTAGGTTGCGATACGAACACTAATATATTTATTCATTTTATTACGCTGTATCGATTACTTATTATTCATAAAGTATGATTTCTGCTTTAAGTATTTTATCTTGGAATAAGTAATAAGCAAATAAGAAAATATCTGTTTATTCTAATGTACAGAATTCAGCTAATTATTCTATTTTAAAAAAGGCATGTAAGATCATCGATATTTACACTCATTATTGCCTTATTGTGCTATCAAGTGATTATGCGGTCTACTTAACAACGCTACAAATGCTTCAAAGCGTTCTTTTTCTCCTTCTCTCTTCATTAAAAAAAAGATAAAAGACATTATAATGGCATTTGTCGAAATGGAGAAGACATAATAAAAATCATGATGAATTAACAATATGCGCAGTCGAACAATGCTGTCAAGTGGTTGTCATCGCGAAAGTTGCATACTTTGACAGTTCATATTTTGAGAAAGTTAGTGCAGGTATATTTTTTTTATTTTTGTGTTTTATGGAAAATATTGAAAGTGTCTTCTTAGATATAGTTATAATATATATTTTTTTATAATTGTAAAAGTAAATAGCGCGCGTGTAGCGCGCGCTTGTGTGTGCTTTAGTAAATAATAAAAGAAAAATTCATGCACGGCGACACAATAAACTTCATCAACATTGACAAACAACTGAACCTGGATCATTAATGTATCAATACTATTAATCTGCTTGGCAAATAATGTCATGTTGATAAAAATAATAAGCAACTTGTGTGTTGCATGACACGGTCAAGTCTTCACATTGTTCTCCACCGTGATTTCGTATCTGCATCCTAGATAACTAATTAATTTTATACTGTAAGGTCAGATCAAGCAGACGCGTTCTTAAGCTTCGGTGCAAGGTGCAAATAAAATAAAACAGTCGAATCACTTCTTTCCGAGCGCTAGTTGATCATTAGATTTTGTTCCTCTCTTATTCTCCCACAGTTTTCGGTTCCGAAGTATTGCGAGTATTTTCATACAAAAATATTTGAGTGCCACATTTAAAATGTGTTATTCTCTTATATTTCTTTATTAAAAAAAATCATAAAAATTCATAAATGTTCACCACGCACCAGGGGCCCACGGATCCCGGAGCTCGTCGGTGCATCGCACCGGTTGCACCGACGTTAAATACGCCCCTGAGATCAAGTCGTGGTACGTTTTATACAAAGATAATCAATCAAACTCGCAAAAAAGATGCAACAATAAATTCAAATGTCAACTTTACATGACTTCTTTGACATGGGATTTACATGTAATCTTTTTTAAGCATTTGTATAAAAAACGTGAAAACTATCTTATGATTAATCCATGATCATCCTGCCGTCAAAATATCTGCAAGTTCACTATATTTTTGTTCCCTCATATTCAATTACTTTTTTACTTACACAAAAAAAATGATAAAACATTAAGTATTGTCATATATATTCATCAACACGCATAATGCATACGCAGTAAGAATCAAGATTACATTCATAAGCTCTAATCTGAAACAGTTAGTCGCTAAACTCTTAACAGAGCAGATCGAAACAAGAATAAATATATCAGAATAGTGTAAATCACAATTAAATAAGTAAAACAAATTTTTCTTATCTATAAATATGTTCGAAGTACTATATAATCATTAAAAACCATTTTTATTAAAAAATTTTAATCCACACTATTTTTATTAAAACAATTATTTTTCCAGTATGGCGCTATATGATGGCATGCTTCTTTTAGCAGAAATATTCGTGCTTTTTTTCCAAATTCTCTATTACATCTGTGAAAGTATATATAAGTTATTTGCTCCAGTAGAGAAAAAAAGTGTGGCTGGTGAAATTGTTCTGGTATATGCAAAATTTACAATATATAATGTATAGCTGTAGAGAAAATTAATCATCAATAGATTTTGCAATAGGTAACAGGTGCGGGTCACGGCATAGGAAAGGAATTAGCAATTGGTTACGCCTTGTTAGGAGCCACAGTAATATGTTGGGACATCAATGAAGAAGCCAACCAACAGACAAAGAACGAGATTAAAAAAATGGGAAAAGACTCTGTATATGCATATCGGTTAGCTAATAATCTCTGTTTCTTACGAATTCTGATAATATAAAAAAAATTTAGGTAATTTGTCAGCGCACTAAGCTAAACATTCCATACTAATTAAAATACGGTCGCATTTTACAGATGCGACGTAACAAACAGAGAAGAAGTCTTCAAGGTAGCCAAAAAAGTAAGAAAAGAAGTGGGCGATGTTAATATTTTAATTAATAATGCTGGCATAGGAATTTTAAAAACATTTCTAAATTACAACGACGATGAAATTTTGCGAACCATAAATGGGAATCTTATCGCGCATTATTGGGTAAGTGACATATCTCGTATATTTAGAAGCTATAAAATGTAATGAAAGGTATTGCTATATTATTCAATAGGAAATTATTTTCAGACATTGCGTGCATTCTTACCAAGCATGATTGAAAAGAACCATGGTCATGTCGTTGCGGTCTCATCATTATTAGCAATTGTAATGTTAATGTATGCGACAGTTTACTCTTCTACAAAAATCGCAGTCAGAGGTAATCAACTCATATTAAGAGATAACAATCTTTCGTATAATAATTTAATAAATATTTAAAATAATTTATAACATATAAATATCCCAACAAACACTAATCAACAATAACATAACATTGATGTTATAATTTCCGTCAACACCCTTATTGCTATGCATCGTGTGATGCTGCTCATGTTGATAATATCCTCTGACTTGTGATATGTATGTTTCAGCATTTATGGAGAGTCTGAATGAAGAATTGCGTATATCCAGTAAGGGAAAATCTTTGATTAAATTCACTACCGTTTTCCCAACTGTGGTATTTAACGGAATGCTCAAAAAGCCAATAGTGAAGTAAGCATTTAAAAATATGTTGTTATAATAAATATTTTACGTTGGCCAGAACAATATTATAAATTTTTTTTTTCTTTTAATTTAATTATATTTTTATCAATATAGATTTCCCAGTTTAATAAGCCCACTACCACCAAAGGAGGTTGCTTCACTAATAATCGATGCGCAAAGAGAAAATTGTAGGGAAAGAAATATACCATCTCATTTGTCACCATTATTAACGATACTTAAGTATGTAAACAGTGCAAATAACAATTCCATCATATCAGTGCATATTAATAATAATCATAATATTTGCAAATAAAATATTGCAAAATATAATAAAATGTAAACAGTTCCGTTTATTTGTATTTTTATTTATTAATGCAAGTGCAGATGCCATGCAACTAATACATATTATAAAATTATTATTTTTATATCTACATTCTACATACATAATAAAAATATTATTTTTAATGCAGAAATCTCCCGATTAAGGCACAAGAATGCTTAAAAGATGCATTTATTGGTACAATTGCTGAACCAGATGATTGAAAAATACAAAAGTTTAATACAGATCTCGTCATGCAATTTGTTACATTAAAAATATAAAAAATGTATGCGGTTTTTCTTAATACAATTTTATAACATAATTATTAACAAATATTTGTATATATGTTATTAACAAATATATGTATATATATTATAATGATGTAGGCATAGATACTTGAATCGAGATTGTATAAACTTACAAGGGAATCTCATGAACCCGAAAATTCTGATTTTGATAAAACTTTACACACATGTAGGGGGGTAAATAGATGAATTTGGAAATTTTCAGTTGCTGTCCATAAGAAAGGGGTGAAACCATCCCTTATATGTAAAGCAGCTTTTTGCTTTTCACGATATATCTCGAAAATGATTTAAATATTGATAAAATAAAAATTAATAGATATCAAAAAATGTTTCATACAAAAGTTTTATTGTAAGAACGCCTCTATTTAATTACATTAATAAAATTTAGAAAAAATCAAAGATTTTTTTTCAAAAATTATTTTGATAAAAGAGTACTCTAAGTCTCTACCATAAGTTTAATGTCAGAATTTGTTATGAAACCATAAATAAATCTATTGATTTATTGCTACATACTGCTCGCATTTTATTTGCTAAAAATATGAAAAAGAAATATGCACTTTATTTATATCACATATCATATATTACTCTTTTATTCCTTATTTATATTTATTTTTTTTATATATGTACTTATTTCTTTTTTTATTGAAGATCTCTTTTTTCAATTTTAACTTTTATAGGATTAACAGGTTCTAATGTAATATTCATTTTTAATTTTATTTCATCTACTTTGATTTTTTTATCTGTCTTGAATTCAAATGTTCGTATCAATGTTGCCAGAATAACTTTCATACTCATCATTGCATACTTCGCACCTGCAATTTTATTAATTATATATAAATCCATTTTATCACAATTTTTTACAATTTATTTACGCTCACCTATACAATTTCTAAGTCCATCGCTGAAAGGAATGTAATAATTGGAAGAATCCACTTTTTTTTCTGGGAGAAATCTGTCTGGATCAAACATTAAAGGATTCGGCCAATACTTCTTATTTCGGTGCACACTTACTATAGGTATGATAACATCAACTCCTTTTGGTAAAGTAAATTCTCCTATATAAAACATATTTTTATATTTAAATATATTATTATAAGAAAAACATGATAGAAATAAATAATCCAAGTGAACTTGTTTTATTATTAAAGTAGATGTATCTATTTAATGAATAATATTATATTATTTATCCAAAGTTAAAAAACTTCCCGTATAGAATAAAAAGTTCACGCAACGTTGGGACAGTTTCCAAATGTTCACAGAAAGTGATGTTAGAAAGTCAACATTTTATGTACTTAATCTGGATATTTACATAACCAATCAAAGTTATTTCTCTAAAAAATGGAATGACTGTGATTGACCAGTTTTATAACTACGAATGTTGTTAAACCCGATTAAGGTTGACGTGTAAACGTAATCTATGTTACATGAAAGTTATACAATCATATAGAACGTTTTAACGTTGTTTCAACATTGAGCAAACATTCATATAATGTTGTGTAAAGTTTTTGTTCTATACGGGTATTTATTTGAATTTTGGAAACTCTTTCTCTCTCAGTTTATTCCTAGACTGCACAGCATATTCAAAAGACGTCCAGAGGATATCCCAAAGACGTTTTTGGAAGAACTGGACGTTCTCTGGGTATCCTTTGAATATACTTTGGACATGTGTGCTGTGTCTGGGTTTATATATTAAAACCATTGATATCAAGACATTTATATCTAGAAACGATTAATATATAAAAAATATACACAGTGCATATCAAATGTATCCATTGATAAATACTTCTCTGTGTTACATCTGTTTCTAAATTTTAATATAAAGAGAAACATAGTAATTAAATTAATTATCATTATTGATGTTTAATTAAATTTAAAATTAAATAAATTAATTAATTAACCTATTTTTAAGTCTTCTCTTAGACATCGTCCAATTGCAGGAACAGCAGGGAACATTCTCATTGTTTCCTTAATAACTCGAGTCAAATAATCCATATGTTGTAAATCCTCATATTTGACTGGTGCAGATTTTGGAGATTTATTGCCATAAATTCCTAATAATTCTTTATATGCCTTTTCCTTGTTCAAAATTAAATAAAGTGCATATTTAAGTGTGTGTAAAATATATATTACAATACAATTACACACTATACAATTATTAACTATAAAATTTTATACCTTGCTTTTAAAAATTAGTATTGATAATAATATATTGAAACATTGATAACGATATAGATCAAATGTAATATTTGCTTAATTCTATTAAAATACTGACTGTTAACATAAATAAAAAATTATATATAGTTAAGGACATGATAGGTTGCGTATGACACACGTATTTTAATTTTAATCTTCTTGTCTATGTAAATTTTTACCTATCACTTAGTTTTAAAAATTTATGCAAACCAAATCTAATTATATTTCTAATAAAATTGATAAGACCTATTATTTATAGCCCAATTATTCATAACATTAATATCTGAATAATATTCAAAATAATAGTCCAAAAAATAAATAATATTAAATAATATAAAAAATATAGAACAGATTGCAAAAAGCTTGTATTTGAGTGAATTGTAAAATTTGTTGAATTCTTTTTTAGAGATGTTATATAAAATATGCGCATTTTCTTTAAAATTACATTGTTTACAATGTTTCATATATTTATTTAAAAAAATTAATAAATTTAATATATATACCTGTATTTCTGGTAAATTTGCTAGTACAAAGGTCACAAAATACATTACAACAGCAGTTGTGTCACTGGCCTACAAATAAGAATTTGTCTTATTATACATTTACAAATATGACTGTATGCGTAACTATGTGAAAATATTATAAATACATACAGCTAGTATTATCGAAATTATATTATCGTAAAATTCTTTTCGTGTTAATGATTTTCCACGATATGCTTCCCAGAAGTTGGTAAACACTATATTATTTGAACAAAAAGAAATAGTTGATAAATAATTATCAAACAGTTGATTAATTTCTTGTAAAACAAAATTCTTTATATGTGTATATTTAAATTTTGTATTAAAATAATTAAGAAGAGATTAACTGTTGAAGAAAGATTTTTTAATTAACAGAAAAAAGAAAAACAAAAGAGTTTAGCAATATTCTAATTGCAATTTTCGAACAAACTTTTTTTTCATTATTTTGCAAATATTACAATGTCATAATAGTAAAAAAAATCAAAATATTCCGAAATAGACATTTGGACGCATTTTAATACATAATTATAGCATGCGGCATATAAAAATTGTAGCATATTTATACAAAGATGCGTCCGCACTGGATATCAATTTTGTCGACATGTATGGTCGCAATTAAATACTACAGTTATGTACAATAAATGTCACAATCATGCGTAACATATGTCGCCAAAGTGTAAGGGTGACATCCCATGGCATGTATTTTTCGTGGAACGCATATCGCGTAACCAATCAGAAGCTTCGTACAAGCATAACGAAACATCATTTCATTTATACTATGTAAAAATTCGTCTAAAAATATGCCAACATAATAGCAGCATTTAATTGCGATTAAAAATGATCATCATTGTATGCTTTTACAATTACATAATTATATGCTTTCATTTAATGTTCAACTGTCTATCTGTGTTAGAATAAAACATTGACAAACTTACAAGTTTTTTCCCTCTTATTATTCTCGGTTATATCTGGTTTAATTAATGTGCTCTTGCTTTGCTCCAACTGTGTAATAATAAATCAAATAAATAAGGTAATAAAAGTTAGGATATTAAGAAATATATTTATAATATAAAGTATACCTCATTCATGATACAGTTACGAACTTTTGATACTCTTCGAATTATCTTTCCTATTTTAGTAAAATTCAATACAGCATTTAGATTCCACAATGTACCAAGTAATATATAATTCCAATTGTCTCTGTAACTAAACTTTCTATTTTTAAAGTGAACAGAATATAATTATAAATTATATAGGTAAATACATTTATTATAGCTTGCAAATGTTACTAAAAATGTTATTAAAATGTTATAAAAAATATTATTAAAAATAAAAATTGATCTTCTTGTTCTATTACTTTAATTGAAACATGCGCGAGTTTGTATTTATAAGGCAAATTTAACTAAAAACATTTAATTAAAATCAGAGATTAATGCTTAAAATTCTATTTCTCTGAAAAATATGAATATATTTTTCAAATATATCTATCCATTCACACACACACACACACACGCGCGCGCGCGCGCGTTGTATGAGCCATATAATTATAAAAATTTAAATTAGAAGAAAATTGTACCTCGTGAATACTTCAAATGCTTCATTGATCGTTTCTGATTCCAATTTGACATCCATTAAAGTTTCTGTATCCATCATATAAAAAAATCATATAAAAAAGATTTATTATTTAAAATATTTGAGGTCTAAACTAGACTATACGGTAATATAGATTTTTCGAATTGGCAACTCTGGATATATATTAAATTTTACTATTTTTAATATTTTATATATTTTTAAGTATATTAATATTATTTATTTTATAAGTCTATAATTGCTGAGATATACTTCAGATATTTTTTATGATTTTAAAAATACTAGCAAAAGTACAGTAGTTTTTCTTAAATATTCTTACTTCTGAAATTGTTTTTAAATATTAGTAAAAAATTACTGTTAAATTATATATGAATATCTAAAAAATTTCAAATAATTTCAAATTTGTACTGTATACTGAATATTCCTTATAAGAATTTTTATGAGATAATTTAGAAGAGATTAGAATTATTTCTTCTTACCACATGCAATGTCGACAGTAGTTTTGAGTATAGGCTTATGAAAGATAATTTCATTTTTATTTAATTTTTCTAATTCATCCGTAAATATCAAAGAATGTTCTACAAATTTATTAAAAAAGCCTCGCAGGTTGTGTGTATTAAAGGTCGGTCCTGCCAATTTTCGATGTGGAATCCATGTGAATGCTGAAATAAATATTATATTACAATCTTTAATACAGAAAAATAACACAAACAGAAAATATTGATCTGTAACATAATATGAAAAAAATATTAAAGATAATAAGAAAGATTGCCTTAAGAGATTTACAGTCAAATAAAAATGCTTAATAAATGAATTATTCGGAATATAATTAAATATATATAATATTTGAACAATCGATGTATAAGTAATATTCGTTTATGGTTATCTATTATATTATAATCGTAATAAAAATAATATTACACAGAAACAAGTAAGTGAGTAGTTGCTGATAACCGTTATTTTATTTAAATTAAATAGTATTTAAAGTAAGTAATCGTAATTAATTAAGCACTATTTTTCTAAAACTATCTTACTAGGAGATGTGATCAGTCCTTCGCCAAATAATGGTTTAGCAGTGTCATAAAATAGACTTTTATCGAAACATCGACTTTGTAAAACAGTCTAAAAAAAGATCATACAAAATAAAAAATTAATTTGTTAATATTTATTAATATTAGTATAATATATATATTATTAAGTATATGTATTAAGCTAATTGCATAATTTATGTATGTATACTTTAGAAAATAATTTTGATTATTTAAAATAAAATGTCATATAAAAATTATTATATTTGTAAAATAAATATTTGTTTATGTACATGTTTATGTAGTAAAACAAAACTTATTCTGCTACCTTTATTTGATCTGCATCATATATTTCAATAAATGCCTTGTTGCCAATCCAGAATCGAAATGGAGACGGATAAATATCTATCATCGTATCAATGACGTATAAAAAATCTGAAAACAATTTTTTATAACTTAAAAGTATATTAATTTTATTTAAACTTGTACTGTTGGCTTTTAAGAAAAAAATTATACTTTGCGGATAATCCCTCATAGCAAAACAAATCACAGTGATATCATAATGATATTTCTCTGTGACGCTCAAATATGTCATAATGAAATCATAATAAAGTGGTAACATGTGAATGTCCGTTTTATTACATATATAATGTCGCTATGACATCATTGTAATATAAAAAATAAAATAAAGATAAATTGAATACGAGATAGATAGCGCATAGTGCGTCACATCCCAGAGAGAACAACAAGTCTAAGAAACGTCTAATAGACGTCTATAGACATCTAATAGACGTCTAATAGACGTCTATAGACGTTTCTTAGACCTGTTGTTCTCCCTGGGATAGCGCAAGCAAACAAGCCAAATACTGTCTATCTGTCTATAGACGATGTCTATTAGACGTTTCTTCGACCTGTATTTCTCCTTGGATAGCGATTACCGAATATTGCTCTTGTGATGTTTTTATAATGTTGCTGTCACATTCTTATGAAATATTACAATTCAATGTTCCAATAATCTCTCAACAATATTACATTGCAACTTGCAAGATTGTAACATTGCTGCAATGTAAATGCAATGTTTTGTGCTGTATGGGTATCATTATGAAATTTATTGAATTAAACTGAAAACTGTTACTTTTTAATGAAAAATTGCTGAAATATTTATGAAATTAATTAATGGGGTTAATTGAGAGAAATTTTCAAATACATTTCAGCAAAATTTTGTTAAATTTTCAGAAAAATATTTCCATCAGGGTTATCCTATACAAGATAACAGGTATACAGTACTGTATCTGGTAGTTAATTTAATACTAATTCTTTATCTGTATAATTATTATTATTATTACCAAGATTTTTTTGTGCAAATATGTAAATATTCCCGATAAATGGAAATAATCTTGGTCCTGGCAAAGTGTTCACTGCTTTAATAAAAGATTGCCGACGCCGGTAATTTAAAAATAAGTAACTTATAGCAACACACACTAAAGTTGTCAACACAACACTTGCAAATATTATTGTACTCATCGCTATAGGCAGCAGTAACAACAGTACACGTGTCTGAAAGATCTCCGCCTAGTTTTTAACAACGACGAACGGCTCAAAACGGCTGGACAAAAATCCGTCTAGTCTCTCGAGAATATTTTGTAACGGTTAGAGCACCGCGTACGCTAATTCCAAATGTCCGTTAAGCGTAGTTGTTCGAATCACGTGCTCCGATTGGCTACCGACTGTAATATTAATGTAATTGAAGAGTATAAATAAATCACTTAACATTTAACAGAATGATAAATGGTCTTTATTTCAAAGAACCGATTATACGTAATATTGGTTGATCGCTCGCTAGACTAGATCTAATACCACGACTAATTCGACTGTTTTCACTGCCGGTTCCGAACAGAGTGTCTCTTGGCTTTTCGCTCCGGATCACGTAGCAAGTCCTATGTTTTCCCGAACGTTGCATCCGGTTACGCGCGCATATATCGAATTATTCGATATATTGAGAGTCGATGTGTTGCGATTCGAGGTATCGCCTAGTGGCGCTGCCTGTCGATCGACCGTAGAAATATCTTACATGTCAATCAGAAATACAAATTACACAAATGTTACTGCTTGACTGCGCATATTATTAATATATCGGAACTTTTATTATCTTTACTCCACTTCGGCAAATAATATAAATTTAATGTATCAAGTCTAGAGTGGAATTTATTCTTCTAAAAGAGAACGCGTTAATGGCTTAGTTTACACCGATTGTTTAGTACGCGTACCAAGTACTAAATCAGCTTTTTTGATTGGTGTAGATTTTACACTAAACGATTTATACCTATCGGAGAAGCAGATTTAGTATTTGGTACGCGTACTAAACAATCGGTGTAAACTAAGCCAATCTTTTAAATAGTAGATCCATTATATCTTCATCTTACTTCTTATTTTCAGTATTTTTTATATGACATATAACGATATATACAGAATGAGACACATAAAATAAACCACTTAAATCATTTTTTAATTTTTTTTTTAGATAGAAGACGATAAAAATGTTTCAGGCAAATTTTTTTTTATTTTTAAAAACACTTTATGCTTGAATTTTTTGTTTCTTGATCCTTTAATATTCCATTAATTAGAAACTAAAATATAATTATGCGTATTAAGAAAAGTTGTGTCATTTTGTGCTAAAAACTGAAATGTTTATAGGTTTCCTTAAACATCTCATTAAATAGCCTTACGTTGCTGTACGAACATTAATACATTTATTCATTTTATTACGCAGTATCAATTATTTATTCATGAAATATGATTTCTGCTTTAAACGTTTTATTTTGCAATGAATAACAAGCAACTAAGGAAATATTATTTTATTTTAATATACAGAGTTTAGCTAATTATCTTATCTTTAAAAAAAGCATGTAAAATCAATATTCGCATTTATTGTTACTTCTTTTCCGCGATGCTAATTGATTATGTCAGTGCACGTTATGGAATCAAGTGATTATGGCTGCGGTCTACTTAACACTACAAATGCTTCCAAGCGTTCTTTTTCTTCTTCTCTCTTCATTAAAAGGAAGACAAATGACATTGTAATGGTATTTGTTGAAACGGAGAAGCATAATAAAAATCAAAATGAATTAATAATATGCGCAGTCGAACAATGCTGTCAAGCGGTTGTCACTGCGAAAGTTGCATACTTTAACAATTCATATTTTAAGAAAGTTAATACAGATATATTTTTTTATTTTTGTGATTTATAAAAAATATATTAAAAGTGTCTTCTTAGATATAATTATAATATACATACATTTCTTTATAATTAAAAGAGTAAGTAGCGCGCGTGCAACGCGCGCATGTATGTCTTAATTAATGTAAATTACAAGTTATTTGTTTACGCGCCTATACGGTCAAGTCTTCGCATCATTTCTTGTGATTTTCTGATCTGCATCTTGTAATTTTTTGCTAGGGTCAGGTCAAATCGTTTTTAGTAATGCTAATGCCGACGGTAATCGTTCTGTTTTGATCAAAATACGATTGACAAACCGATCTAAAAATACGTGTGATTGAGCTGTTACGTAATGGAATACTATTAGAAAACAATTTCTGGGAAACATTTGTGTAACGTTTTCTAATTTTGGAACTTGGTAATTTTTTGTACAAATCGACTCATTCCACCATGCGAGCCACTACGAACAAAAAATCGCAGCATTTTGGCGATTTTTTTCAGTATTCGGGATACTTAAAGTTTGAAGAAAAAGTACCAATCTTAATTTTTTAATCATTTTCCATAATGGCTTTTCAAGTTTGATGGTAAATGTAAAAATCACTCATTTTTATCTTTTTTTGGCTTAATAATATTAAAAAAGGTTTTAAAAAAACAATAAATGCATTTGATAGAGCAAAGTCTTCCCAACCAACACGTATGACTTAAAGACGTCTTTAAAAAGTTATAATGTTGTCTGGCTTAGCTTTAAAATGCTTTTTTTAATATTGTATAATATGATTGGTCACAGAGATGCAAGATGTTATATAGTTTGTGATATTGTAGTTGTCGCATCAATTTACTTTGTTTTATTCCAGAGAAATAATACCTAATCGACTTTATTTTTTTTGCAGAGATCTTCAAGGAAATAATATATCAGTGATATTCAAAACAGACTTTAAGGACATGGCGACACTTTATATTTTGTAAGTAATTTTTTAATATTTTTATCTTGAGTTAATTGTCAAACGAATAATAAGCTATTAATTACATTACGTTTATTTTCTGCAATTTTTCTTGCTAAGCTTAAATCGAAAATTATGTCAAAAGTGTACGTAATCTAACTTTTCTATTACGTTAGTCATAAAAAATAAAATTTTTACGCGTTATTTTGATATCAATATATAAAGTTCAATAAAAAATATAATGTAAGTATTTTCTAAATAAATATTAAAAAATCTTTTATATCAAATGTACGCGCGAGCAATGTATATGCAGCGAAATTGCGATTCCGCGTTCGGTCTTTGACACTGGCTTTTGAATAGTAGGTGCGACTACAACCCGCCGATGGCGCGCTCATCTACATCTACACTGAAAAAAGACCTCATGTTTGCTCCTCAGTGTACATAAAAACAGTAGAAAGAGATTAATGAATTTATGAGGAGAAATCGACATATGTTTAATGCAATTCCATTTTTTTTTTATTATGCTGTACATACAAAATGTATTTAACAAGAATAAATTTTATAAATTTAATTATATCTTCACTAATATTAGGTAAGAGCTCATTAATTTGATTAGAGGTTACATAGGGGTTGTTTCATATCTTTTATTCTGTATTTAGTATAGTAATATAGTAACTGTAGATTAAACAATGTGTTCAAAAGTTGTATCAGCCTTGTTGTGAGATATCTGATTGGAAATATGTTAGTCTCATGGAAATAAATATATCTTTTAGTTAGCATTGTAGCCAGCAAGGAAGTCGTGGAAGAGTCACAATCAATATCTGAGGACATTTCCAGTCAGCAAGAAAATGAGCAAGTTTTTATAGATGAGGAGAAAGATTCTGCAAAAGAAAGTGTGGAAGTACCGGCAAATATCACTAATATTGTTTCAATTAATATCACTAAAGTTAATTGTTTATCAGAGAAAATCTATGGCCCTGTTGAGGTTTGTAAACATTATAAAATAATACTACATGTTAAGAAAGAAAGAAAAATGGGACATAATTTTTCTCATTTTTCTTATACATTACAGATTGTCAATGCAACAAGACTCATGGAATTGCTAATCTTAGAACCTGGGCCATCAAATCGTTCCAGAAATGACAAGGATGGTAAGCAGATACCAGGAATATGTGTTCTAGTATTATTTTATGCTAGGTGGTGTGTATTTAGCAGTCAAGCAGCACCACATTTTAATGCTATACCACGTTCGTTTCCTCATATTAAAGCTGTTGCCATCGATGCCATAAGGCACCAAAGGTAAACAAAACGTGATAATATAATTTACATATACTTGTAATCTTTTAAATAAAATTGGAAATTGCGTGTTTCAGCTTTAATGCTCAGTATGGAATAGTTGGTGTGCCAACATTAATGCTGGTTCACAATGGCAAGCCTGTTGCAAAATTCAACGACACAATTTATACCCTGGAATCATTCGCTAAATTTGTTTCTCATTTGACTAACTTGCAATCCAACGGCTCGTTGTATGTCACATCGGGGGATTTTACAGGGCCAGTTTCAAGCACGCCTTCCAATGAAGTAGATTACTGCTTGATGTTGTCCTGGGTCTTCATCATTGCTTGTGTCTTGTACTTCACATCCCGCAGCAGATGGTGGCAGCAGTTTGTTGAACTCATTCAGAATACTTGGCGTGAGAGCAATGCACAACATGAACATGCTGATTAGAAAAGATTATTATTAAATATAAAATTATTTATTTGTCAAATCTGTGTAAAAAATGTAAAGGAGAGACGTGAATAAATATATAGGTGCTAATTGATAATTTGGAATAGTTTCATTATATGCAAACATTAGCTTTTATACATGATAGTTTTCTATTTATTGTTATTTGGAACCAGCTCAAACTAGCTTAAAGAAGTTAAAAAAATGGAAAGCTCTTAATAAAAATAAGAAAATTTAAAAGTGAATTAATAAAGTATAAAATGTATATTCAAGAAAAACACAACAAAAATATAATAATAATAAAAGACGACAATTATTCTTTGTAAAAAAATTATATAAAGATAAATAAAATAAGAAAATATAACAGTAAGTATGTATATGGCTATAATTGTAGCACAGGCTCACAAAAGAATATAAGATGCAAAAGAAAAAAATGCAAGAATAAATAATACTTAACGAAAAAAAATACAACTCATGAGAAAAGTGGCATAGTGAGAGAAGTAAAAATTTTTAACACAGAATTGCATTACTAGATATACGATTTCGAATTGAACGCATAGTATAAACATAATATGAATTTATGCTTCATGTCCAGTATAAAAGCAATAGTTGTCTAAACAATTTATCGGTTAAAAAATTAGTTAATAAATCTCCAAAGCTAAATTTAACGTGAGAAAATATTAAAAATGGCGCTTGCTGTTAAGATGTATTCAGACAAACTTGTATAAATGCAAAAGCGTATGCATAAGAAAGTGGATTGGTCTATTTCTTGATCATCTTTTTATGGACCAATCCATTTTCTTATGCACTATGCAAGTTTGTCTGGATGTACCTTGATGGTTGACTACGCGATTCACTTATCGACTTCCCATCTTCATGATTGTTGTGCGCGGCATTTGTTTGAGCTGAAGTTCGTCTCTAATGGATTTGTTATCGCCGTGACCAAGCCGCCAGTGTTGTGGCTGCACGAGAGGGTGAAGTTTGATTCGGCGAGTGTATGATTTTGAATAAACGGCGGACAAGATGAAATTTCCACAGATACATTTCTACAAACACGTTTGCCGACGCTAGGTTAGATCGCTTGAGCGGACTGAAGGTTGCATTATAGCGCGAAGCGGTTCGAATTTGACTTCGAGAAGTCGATTGAGTTTCAGCTATGGGCTCGCTGAGTCTTGTCTGTCCTATGTGTTGCGGCGAAACCTTCAATAATTCGCAGTCTCTCAAATATCACTTGTTAAGCATAACGGACAATCTCTATTGTCCCAGCTGTTCGCAGCGTTCCGACTCTGTGACAGCGCTCATTCAGCACTTGGACAAATGCGAGCAAGATCTGGAGTGCAAGATGAAACCTGACATCATAATGGACAGGCTTCGAAAAACTGGCAAAGAGCCTGAAACCAAAGTGGATATTTTAATGGTTGGTAGAGAAAAGAGCAAAGTAAACTGTTGTATACAATGAACATTTAGTTGCAACTTTACAAATAATTTCACTATTGTAGAATTCTGTCTTTTATAAAGTATCATTTGATGTCAGGAATTTTCTTAAAAGCTTGAAAAATTATTCACATACATATGTTATTTTGTCACTGACATTATCTTTTAAGAGCAGATTCTTAAAATAATTGTGAATCGACTCTTTTCCTAAAAGATGTTCAATATTTGAGTAAGAAGAATTTAATAAAAACTTTAATTTTTATTTGAATTTAACATACTTAGAATGTTAATGAAATTTTTAATGCAAGTTACATTTTTTTTGTTGTTGAGGAATAAAGAAGAGTTTCTTATTTGTATAATTGTTAGTTTATCATTTTTTGCACTGAAGATATCTTGTAACTATAACAGTTGATTTCAGGATGTCAAAACGCAGCAGATCGATCAAGGCTTCTTCGCGACTTTAAACAATACTGGCGTTGTCATAGTGGGCGACCCGCAGACAATACAAATGGATGAGAATGGTTCGTAAAATTTCTGTTTTGCCGCATACGAAGATTCCGTGAATCGGATATTGTTTCTAATGAAAACATTAGGAGAGATTAAAGTCGTAGAAAAGATGGACACAGAAGAAACGCAACCAGATCAAAATTCTCTGGATTTCAAGATGCCCGGGGAGTTTCCTGATGTGGTCAATGGAATGCAGAAGAGGCTGCAACCGTCGCAAGGATTAATAACTATCCCTGTGTCAAATGCCAATGTGGAACGCAAAGCTACACCGATAGAGAAGAGCGTAATCGCCGTGTTACCGGGAGGTCCCGCGCTCTTGGACGGTGACGCCACAACCTTGATCGACATGGATCGCATAAACGACGCAGGAGTGATCGACGAGGCTGGTCTGCTGCGCGTCAAGCAAGAACTGTGTGAGGTAAAGATATCGGCTACTATCGGATGTAACATTCAGGCTTGTATCTTGGTGTACCTAACAGATTAGGATGTCTATTAGACATTTTATTAGAACTCGAGAAATTTGATTTGAAAATTTTGCTTTTGTAAGCAGCCGATTACTAATTAGCCACTGTTTTTTTAAATTTAACATTTGAAACTTGAGTGGCTTTTCTTCATTCTTTTTCTTTTTCGTTCTATTTTTGCTTGGAAATTGGATTAAAGATGTCTGAAAAATCAAGGAACTTTCAGGAAAATTTTTTCAAGGTTTGAGTGGATAGCAATTTGCATTTACAATTTTTTTGCAGTTGGAATCCGAGGCTGTGTACAGTTGCACCAGCTGCGAAATCAGCTTCAACTCTGTTTTGGAGCACATCAAGCAGTTTCATGATGGACAGGAGGTTCTACTGGAGATGGCGGAGCAGTTAGATGACCTAACGACGACGGTGCCTATGAACGCAGTGCCCGCGGGTCCTGAAAGCTCAGAAAACGTGGCAAACGCACGGCAACGGCAAACGATGAACACGCTGCGCACGGAGGAATGCGTGGACAATGAGGGTAGACTCTACACCAGGAAGGTAGTGCAAATCGAGAGATTCTGGGACCGCACGCCAATTCAAGTCACGTCATCCCAGTCGGCGAAGGCTCCGATGATCGAGAAGTTTTTCTCAAACGTGGAGGGCGTTAAGGTACGGCTTTATGGTGCACTCGATTTTCAGCGGAAGAATAAACTTGCGCAAGATTTAATGTATCACATTTTGGTCTACCAAACACAAAATACAAATTAACATTCCACAAACGTGTAAGGACCAACCTCTCTCATACGTAATGTTGTGCAGATGCGGGAGAAGCGGCTGACGGCGGCGTCAATGCGAATGTACAAGTGCAATCAATGCTCGCAGCAGTTTTCCAAATTGGGAAACTTTCGCGTGCACGCCTGTCTTCACGGCAACAATCGCTGCGATCAGTGCGATCAGAGCTTTGCGACTCTCAAGGCATTGCAGCTCCATGCGAAAGTGCACGAGAGTGAAGTCGATCCGAGCCAAAAGACATTTATTTGTACCACGTGTGGTACTGAGTTCTGTTCTCATAAGAGCTTACGATTGCATTCGAGAATGCACGCCCCGGTGAGAGCCAGACACGTCGATGCACCTGAGGGGACTCCTAATGCTACCTTCACTTGCCCCGAATGCGGTAACAAATCCATTGATTAATTATTAACTTAATTTACAATACAAGAACGATAATATTTTTTCAAAAGTACTTATTTAACGAACAAAGTATTATAATTTTTCATGAAATTTTTTCTATCTAGAAAAATCTGAAAGAATCTTATTAAGATTCAAAGAATTTCTGTTTTTTTTTTTTACAATTTTTATTCTATTTTGTGATCAATATATTTGCTCTTTAATTCTGTTTTATACTTAAAAAAAAAACTTGATATAAAAATAAATTTTATCTTTTTCTCTATAAACGAAAACATTGTACAAGAAACTTACAATAAGCAAATTTATTCTAAATTCGAATTTGTTATATTTTTCAAACTTGTATCGAAAATTTCTGAAAGTCATAGAATTTTTTTCCAAATTTGAGCAGATATTCTGTGTATAGTAAAGTTGCAATTTACTATTTTTCAACTTGTAATGTGTTCGATCTCTTCAGCATTCTAACCAAATCCTAATGTTTTGCAGGCAAAACTTTGTCGGAGTCGTACAAGGATGCACACATGGCACTGCATACCGGCGATTCGGTGACCTGCGCCGTTTGTAACCGGAAGTTTGACTCCGCGGACAGTTTAGCGATGCACACGGCAGTGCACAGTGAGCTAGCGCCTCCGCAATCGCCTACTGCGCTTGCATCGACTTCAATAGCCGGAAGAACAACAGCGACGGGATCAACAATGGCGGCGATGGTCGCAGTGACATCAGCGTCGACGGCAGCGGCGACGATAACGACCACGGCGACGACAATGACGACGGTGGAAGCTAGTGACAGTCAGAAACCCTATCAGTGCCAGCATTGTGGTCGTAGGTTTACCAGACCTCACGAAAAAGTGAAACACGAGCGGATTCACACCGGAGAGAAGCCACACGCTTGTGAGGTACATAGACATAGTCGGCTCTGGCTGGATAGTATACGAAGTCAAATGAGCCAATTGATTATGAACAATGCTCGAAATACGATGTGCAGTGCGCTAACCTTCGTTCGCTAGTCAACGTTTCAGTTACGCGGTTGCTCTCATTCGTGTCTCGTAGCTCCATCATACTTCGCGCATCGTTCAGAATTAACTGTTTCGCTCGGGAGAAGTATGGGACCTTTTGACCTCGTATGTGACCGCCTCTGAAGAAACCTGGCGTACGACGAAATTGT